TGTTCAGAGCTTCGATTTTCCCATTCAAATCCTGATACAGGGCGTCAATCTTGCCATTGAAGTCAACTGTAATCTTCTGTTGACCTTCTAGCAACTGCTCAAGCATGGCTTCTATCTTGCTTGAAGCTGATGGAGCTGGTACAGGCTGATAAGATGAGGAACCATAGTTCCTGTTGAAGTTGTTGTTCTGGTAAGGCTTCTAGTATTCAGACTTCTGAAACTGAGGCTTGGGGGTGTAACCAGAAGAACTCTGATTCCCTGTGAAACTGCTCCTCTGCATATTCCCACTGAATCCTATATTACCTTGCTGATTGTTGTACCTCTGAACTTGAAAACCAGCTCCACTGATGTAGTTGACATCTTCTTTTTCAAACTCCTCAGCTGGCTCAAATGTCTCAACTTCAGCAGCAAACTGAACAGACTTCTTCCCCACTAGGAGATTATGCACATAATCCAGCTTGGCCTTCATCTCAGCAACAAACTGATTACTTCCTACACCCCTAGCGTTTTTCTGTCTCTAAAAATCAGCATTCTTTATGCTGTTGCTGGAAGCTAGGTTCTCTATCAGCTTGATGGCGTCAGCTGGGATTCTAGTGTTGAAGTTCCCATTGCTTGCTGCATCCAGAGCCATCTGGTACTTCCAATCAACACCTCTGAAGAAGATTCCCGGCAGCTGCACTTCATTAAACCCATGGTGTGGACAGTCCCTTTGGTACAGCTTGAATCTCATCCATGCTGCTTTGAAAGCTTCTATTGGACCTTGGGAGAATGTGGCGATATTTCTCCTCAACTCTTCTGACCTTGCATCATCATAGACGTTGTTGAGGAAAGCAGATTTGGTATCCTCCCATGTAGTCAAAGAACCAGGTTTCAGCTGTTTGAGTCAATGTGCTGCATCTCCTTCTAAAGAATGAGGGAAGAGCTTGCAGAATAGGAAATCACTAGTGACTCCATTGGCTTTAAAACTTGTAGCCAGGTCTTCAAACTTCTCTATATGGTCCATTGGGTGTTCATGTGGAAGCCCATGGAAAGGATGCCCTACAAGCTGATAGTAACTGGGTTTCAGCTCAAAGTCATTCCTCTGAAAGGCTGGTGGGCGGATTGCAGCTCTATTTGCATAGTACTGATCAGGCCTGTTGTAATCTCCCAGAGTCCTCTGTGGATGACGCCCAGCAACATCTCCAGCAGCTTGCTGTTGTACATTCTGCTCCTCAATCACAACGCCATTGTCATCTATCCTCTACCCATCCTCATTCCTTGTGTTCCCTTATCTGTCAACTAAATGACCCTCAACATCTGTCCTCAAAACAAGTGGTCCACCCATTTTAGTCTGCTTTTTGGCTTTCTTGATGCTTCTCTCTAGCTTGGCGAGTTCGTCGATGCCTAAAATCACAAGTTCTTTGTCTTTGTTGCTTCTGGTACTGCGATTATGCATGCACCTGAAACAGACAACAGAGAAGTGAAGGAGGTTAGTAAACAGAAAATAAAAGCTTAGTCAAAATTCTAAAACTAAAAATCTGAAAGTAATATCTAAGTCCCTGGCAACGGCGCCAAAATTTGATATGCTCAAATTAACCCTTCGAGCTACTCTCTCAAATTAAGAGATCACTGTAGTACTTAGGGATCGAATCCACAAGGACTTAAGGCTATCACTCAACATATTTTAGATTCGAATAAAGCTAAGCAGTCAATAATGCAATAAAACTAAAATAGCAATGAAAACAATGAAATCATGGGCCGATTGTAGGTTCTTAAAATCAAGAATGACAAGGCGCTAGGCAATGGGAAATTTGCAGGTTGACATAAATCGCAGACTACGGACTGAAATGAATATTTATTAAAACCGTTCTAGAACTCGAAACACTAATGTAAAACCAATTGACTTCCGTCGCAGAGATTAACTATGATCAGATTCTAGAATTCCAAATTCCTTTGCAAATTCTAACAACCTAAACATGCTTTATAGATCAGGTTCGATATGTTCACAAAATCACTAATCTAAATTCCTTTGCAATTACTTATTTTTCTCATCCAAGATAGTTCTGGTGATTAACAATGTTTTCACATATATTAAACAACCTAAGATCTGATTTCTAGGTGATCAATCTTAAAACCAGTGTTAAAGCAATCTAGATGAAGAACCAATTGATTTATCCTTCCAGTTTTGTAGTTCTAACAATTCATTATCAACCTTTGAATAACCCAAAAACTAACTAGCAGATTACTCAGACATAGCAAGTGAAACACAAATCATGGCTGAATAAAATTACATTAAGAAAATAGAGTAAAAGATGAAAGGGTTCGAAATTCTTCTCTACAGAGTATGAATTTATCTCCCCAAAAGTTCTCAATCTAATCTCTCTCTTAGTCTCAATGAAAACAAGATAATAGCCTAACAATGGCTTAGAAATTCTAAATACCAGTCTAAACACGAACTGGGGCAAAAGTGCAAATAGTGGGAAACTTCTGGGCCAAGTTGCAAATTCTTCCAATGAGTTTTTACACTTATTCGCGACCACGACCGGTGTCGATCGACACCAAGTGGTGGGTGTCGATCGACACCCTGCTCCATAATGCCTTCCGACTTGGTCTTTTCAGCATCAGCTTCAACATAGCTCCAAAAGGCTCCAAAATCCACAGTTATGCTCCAAACGTACTTAGACCTGCAAACACTCTATAGGACTCAATAAATACCAAAAAGACTCTATAAACAAGACTTATATCATGGTCAAAAACCATGATATGTCACCATTCCTCAGGGAATTCAGGACTTCGGTCTAACAAGCCCCCGTGGCTCGCCCCGTGCCAGCTCCCGTCGCGGACCACGCACACCCTAAGCATGCTTCCCCGCAAACTTGCTCGCCCTCCGGGGCAGGACCCCCTTGGGATCCTAGGGCTCAGGCCTCTCAGACCTCCGGGTGTCCCCACCAAAGGGCCGAGCAGCAAACCAATGTGCTCCTCACTATGACACGCTTGCCACTCAGGCACAACAGGAATTGAGGTCGCCGACTCGCAGGCTCCCTCTTCTTGATAATTTCCCGACCTCTTCGCCTACAGGATACGTCACAAGCACGTTCTCCAAAACCCACCAACTTCCGCGTAAGCACAACACGAAGGCTGTCCAGGCAGTGAGGGAGTCGAGGTAACGCCCTCGGAAAACGCCATACTCCGCACCAGCTGCACTCGAGTAGCGACTCCCCCTTGCTTTAGCGCCCCATAACGCAGGGAACATCTATTCATTCGTCCAATGGTGCCACCCTTGGGCCGGTGTCTTAGCCTGCGTCATTGCTTTGTGTTGATTCCCACAATCACACAAGACTATAACCTCGTTCATGACCCCGATGAGCGGGGGTAAGACGGCTTCTCGTTTAGTACCTCACGAATCGAGAAGTAAAATCCTTCCGGGGAGATGTCCACCAGTGGCCAAAACTATTAGTTCACCCTGCGAACACCTATCCTCCTATCCTGAGTAAGCGTCACACTCCCTTGGATGTGCGCCCCAGTCAGGATAGGACCCCATCATTTTAAACTCCCCAGGCCAAACAGCGTACTCCACCGGATGCGTAACGTAGACTGGGCAAGCCTATCTATACATATCTAGTCTGACCGTCTCACGGTGCATTCCTTCCGGAAACGTAATTCCTTCGATCAATAATGTACACCCTCGGATACGAATAAGATCGAAGTTGACATCTAATGAGAGCTGCCCCGCAGCTCACTTCCGCGAAAGTAATATTCCCTCGACCAATAATATGCTCCTCTGGGACAAACGGGTAAGGTCTTGGTTGAGAGTCCATTTCAGACTATTCCTTCGGTTAAGGGCGCCTTCCGTCACGGAGCGCAACAAGATCGGCGTCGATACCCTATCCAACTTCTTTGAAAGTCCGGATCATCTAGCTAGAACCGCATTCCCTCGGGATGCATGGCACGGCTCCGATGAGTCCCTAAGTCTCTTGTCATGATTCATAATTTAGCTTCGCCCAGACCGGTACCGTACCCCTCGCGTTACGTGGCAAGGTTGCCCAGTCGAACCAGCTCATAAGCAGCATAAAATCTAAGGAATTGGATAACCGCGCTCTTTTTACAGGAAATTAACGAAGGTTCGACTCTCCGACTCATCCAAGGATCAGCCGAGAAGTCGGAGGCAACTGTTGGGACCCATTTTACCGGGTCGAAGGAGAACTCACCACGTGGACCTAGGTGCTGACACACGCCATGCTAGCTCGGTCGACACACTCCCACGTACTGTACCAGGGCAGTTGGCGGGCTTCCCCTAACATGCCATAATGATTACTCCAACCTGCTCTCTGGGTGCGCGGCTTGGAAGGGACAGGACAAAAAGATGACGAGTATAAATGAAAGGAGAACCCTTCGAGGAGAAGGGAGGAGGGCAACCGGTAAGGCCTACTTTCCGATATCCAAGTAGATATTCTCAGCCGTGCAGCAGGATCACAAATGAACCTCATGTTCCTCCTGGGTGAATCCCGACCAGGTTATGTTATCCCTAACTCAGAACCTCACTTTTATATCCGCTTTGTTCCCCCTTTGGCAAATAGGAATCTCCCCTGAAACACCCTAAACCAAACAGGACTCGATCCTCGGATGAGTCTCCTCACGACTAACCCGTGGCAAACTTCCCTCCCGAGTACCTGTTCCCGTACTCACTTGCGTGTCGGAGAACTTTTGGGAGGAAAACTCCCCTTCAGTCCCCCCGAAGGCTCGCCTGACATTTGTTTAAGTGTTTACATGGATCAAATATGGCGCGCGTCCTGTCACCTTGTGACAAAAAGCTTTCATCCCGAAACGACGATTCGCCGCCTGGAACTCGGAGATCCGACTCCATCCCCGATGAATCACGACCTCCACGTGGCATCCCGAAATTTGCTCCCGTACAACTGGTTAATGGGTGAATTATCAAAAACAAGTTTGTGACAGAAATTAAAAATCATCTTTTGCTTTAGGTAACAAAACCTAAGAAAAGAAAATTGCCTTGGAGAGACATGGAGGATCAAAAGCTGATAAATTTTAAGTTTGAGATAGATAACTTGTTGGAGAAGGAATCTGAGATATCATCACCAATATTCTTGAGAGGCGGCTGCGAATGGTAAAGGCAAAGATTATATATGTACTTGTATGTTTTGATTACTGATTCATTCTCCAGATAACTAGATTCATCAAAATAACTCGTCTCTGTTATTACATTTACAACTAAAGTGTTTAGTTAATCTGTTTCTCCTATATTTTTTTTCAGGTTTGCTAAGGTGTGTCCCAAAGGACATGATGTTGAAGATCACTTGTCGCTGTACATTTGCGTTGCGAATACTAAATCATTACGACTTGGATGGAAAAGACGAGCCAGTTGTTCCCTCGTTCTGTTGAACCAATCAGGCAAAGAGCTCTACAGAACAGTTGGTAGTTACTTTAACTTATCATCCACACGTATATATACATATTGATTGATGAAGAAGAATAATTTAAATTAAATTTTTCTAGTTTTTGGCAGGCCACAGAAAATTTCAACTCAACCTTTCTGTTTTTGTCTTACAGAATTTTGCCAATTGTTCTGCGCTCAGTTCCCAGCATGGGGTTTCACCGTGTCTCTTAAAATGCTTAAAGAAAAAGGTTATGTGGAGAAGAGAAAACTAAATTTAAAAGTGGAAGTGAAAGTAGTTGAAGTTGTTGATGAATCAGAAGTAACTCGGAACGAGACTAACGAGACTTTGATGTCAAAGGTTTTCAAAGTATGATTGCATGGATGCTTCTTGTTGTCTTCTTTATTCTTTTTTTTTATTCCCTTTTCTGGTTAACATAATTACATCTTTCTCGTATCGGTAGGTTGTTTCAGTGACTATGCTTTTCGCGAGGCACCCGGACATTGCAGCAAATTTCAAACCAAAGAACCAATTGGTGAGGACGACATACATGAAAATCTTACTAGGTCTCATTGAGGCATCCAACAAACCTCCACATAGCTTATCTGAGACTATACTGGTTGAAAACAAAGCTCGATAATATTTCCTTGGAGACGAAGAAAGGAAATTCTGATGGATTACGAGTCGAGAAACACATCAGGACTCTTGCGCTGAAGAAGGAGAAAGCCAAGTCTTCTACTTCTGCTGCTAAAGACTACCTCGAGGGTGTTGTTCGCTCTTGGAAACTAAGACTGGGATTTGCTGATCTTGGTTATAAAAAAATTGACTGAAAGACAATTTCATTATAATTTCCGATGTCATAAGTTTTTTGGATTGTGTAGGTGGAAAGATCGAACCCATAAACGTATGGGGATGTGCCTTGTGGCACAAGTCTTTAATATTCACGTAATCTTTTTTCCCAATATAGTTTGTACGAAAAAATACCGAAACTGTTAGCGAAGTCAGATTCTTTTAGGTATAGTAGACTTATAGTTGATTGCGTCTCCACAATCTCAAGAGCCCCCATTAACCTCTCTAGAACCTACTCTATTTACTGATCATGTTTTGCAGATCAGAACATAGATTAGAAGTTATTCGAACTCTGTGTGGCGGCAATCATAGTACAAAAAGTGGCACTTATGGGATCATTACAACCGCTCGGTTTTTGTCCACCAGAATGAACCAAGACCGCTTGTCGAGAGACAAGCTTGCCCCTAGTTCCCTTTGCCATAAGGAGTATGGACCTGTCTGTAGTCACTTGGGACTCTTGGTTAAGCAAACCGTATAGTTGATTGCGTCTCCTCAATCTCAAGAGCCTCATTAACCTCTCTAGAACCTACTCTATTTACTGATCATGTTTTGCAGATCAGAACATAGATTAGAAGTTATCCGAAATCTGTGTGGCGGCGATCAGAGTACAAAAAGTGGCACTCATGGGATCATACAACCGCTCGGTTTTTGTCCACCAGAATGAACCAAGACCGCTTGTCGAGAGACAAGCTTGCCCCTAGTTCCCTTTGCCAAAAGGAGTATGAAACTGTTAGCGAAGTCAGATTATTTTAGGTATAGTAGACTTATAGTTGATTGCGTCTCCTCAATCTCAAGAGCCCCATTAACCTCTCTAGAACCTACTCTATTTACTGATCATGTTTTGCAGATCAGAACATAGATTAGAAGTTATCCAAACTCTGTGTGGCGGCGATCATAGTACAAAAAGTGGCACTCATGGGATCATTACAACCGCTCGGTTTTTGTCCACTAGAATGAACCAAGACAGCTTGTCAAGAGACAAGCTTGCCCCTAGTTCCCTTTGCCAGAAGGAGTATGGACCTGTCTGTAGTCACTTGGGACTCTTGGTTAAGCAAACCGTATAGTTGATTGCGTCTCCTCAATCTCAAGAGCCCCATTAACCTCTCTAGAACCTACTTTATTTACTGATCATGTTTTGCAGATCAGAACATATATTAGAAGTTTTCCGAACTCTGTGTGGCGGCGATCAGAGTACAAAAAGTGGCACTCATGGGATCATACAACCGCTCGGTTTTTGTCCACCAGAATGAACCAAGACCGCTTGTCGAGAAAGAAGCTTGCCCCTAGTTCCCTTTGCGAGAAGGAGTATGGACCGGTCTGTAGTCACTTGGGACTCTTGGTTAAGCAACCCGTATAGTTGATTGCGTCTCCTCAATCTCCCCATTAACCTCTCTAGAACCTACTATATTTACTGATCATGTTTTGCAGATCAGAACATAGATTAGAAGTTATCCGAACTCTGTGTGGCGGCGATCAGAGTACAAAAAGTGGCACTCATGGGATCATACAACTGCTCGGTTTTTGTTCACCAGAATGAACCAAGACCGCTTGTCGAGAGACAAGCTTGCCCCTAGTTCCCTTTGCCAGAAGGAGTATGGACCGGTCTGTAGTCACTTGGGACTCTTGGTTAAGCAAACCGTATAGTTGATTGCGTTTCCTCAATCTCAAGAGCCCCATTAACCTCTCTAGAACCTACTTTATTTACTGATCATGTTTTGCAGATCAGAACATATATTAGAAGTTATCCGAACTCTGTGTGGCGGCGATCAGAGTACAAAAAGTGGCACTCATGGGATCATACAACCGCTCGGTTTTTGTCCACCAGAATGAACCAAGACCGCTTGTCGAGAAAAAAGTTTGCCCCTAGTTCCCTTTGCCAGAAGGAGTATGGACCGGTCTGTAGTCACTTGGGACTCTTGGTTAAGCAACCCGTATAGTTGATTGCGTCTCCTCAATCTCAAGAGCTCCATTAACCTCTCTAGAACCTACTCTATTTACTGATCATGTTTTGCAGATCAGAACATAGATTAGAAGTTATCCGAACTCTGTGTAGCGGCGATCAGAGTACAAAAAGTGGCACTCATGGGATCATACAACTGTTCGGTTTTTGTTCACCAAAATAAACCAAGACCGCTTGCCCCTAGTTCCCTTTGCCATAAAGAGTATGGACCGGTCTGTAGTCACTTGGGATTCTTGGTTAAGCAAACCGTATAGTTGATTGCGTTTCCTCAATCTCAAGAGCCCCATTAACCTCTCTAGAACCTACTTTATTTACTGATCATGTTTTGCAGATCAGAACATATATTAGAAGTTATCCGAACTCTGTGTGGCGGCGATCAGAGTACAAAAAGTGGCACTCATGGGATCATACAACCGCTCGGTTTTTGTCCACCAGAATGAACCAAGACCGCTTGTCGAGAAAAAAGTTTGCCCCTAGTTCCCTTTGCCAGAAGGAGTATGGACCGGTCTGTAGTCACTTGGGACTCTTGGTTAAGCAACCCGTATAGTTGATTGCGTCTCCTCAATCTCAAGAGCTCCATTAACCTCTCTAGAACCTACTCTATTTACTGATCATGTTTTGCAGATCAGAACATAGATTAGAAGTTATCCGAACTCTGTGTAGCGGCGATCAGAGTACAAAAAGTGGCACTCATGGGATCATACAACTGCTCGGTTTTTGTTCACCAAAATAAACCAAGACCGCTTGCCCCTAGTTCCCTTTGCCATAAAGAGTATGGACCGGTCTGTAATCACTTGAGACTCTTGGTTAAACAAACCGTATAGGCCCAAGCCACTATGTCCCACGAGTTGTTATCCTTACTATAATCAGCATCGGTATATATACTTGTGTTTGGAGTACTAGTTATCCGATGTGGGATAAGTTATAGATCAGGTCACAAGGGATTGTAATTAAGTTAACACATGCACTCTCACGTGCTCCTCCTCATTAACTAGTTGGAAACCCTAATTTTAAGTACCCCAGTCCGTTAGTCAGCAAATTACGTGACTGCGTAAACAAAATTAGCCTTATATAACATTTTCTAAATTCCCTAAAACGGCGCATTTCACATTGACAGCATCTCATCAAGAGCTTCCCACTTGACTTCGACTCGTCAGATGATTTCTTGATTGATCACAACTAGTCAAGAATAGCCTCTGCCCTCACACAGGCGGCAAATTGTTCTTTGACTAATCATTGTAGTGGTGACTGGTGAGAGGTCGTGATTAGTGAGAAGCCCTGTAGAGGAATCAGTCCACATGCAGCCTTTGAATGATTGAGTCACCTTATTTTCGGTTTCAATCAGGTTCAGAGGCTTTGAAAACTCTTCCTTCCACTTTGAGTCCACGTGGATCACTATGGTTTCTCCATCTTCCATCACCGTCGGTTTCGCTTTGTCCATCTTGTAACGACCCGGTTTATAAAATTTGGGCCAGATTTTATCTTATTTTATCAAACCCATTAGGCCTAATTTGACCTTCTTTCGTTTGTCGACACAAGCCGTACACGCATGTGTATGCACCTCCATCTTTGTTAACCTAGCCTCGCAACCAGAGAAAGAGAGAGAGAGAAGAGAAGCGTGAAGGAGAAAAGAAAATGTGAGGAAAGGAGAAGGGGTTCGTGAGAGAGAAGCAAATGAGAGAGGAGAGAGCGAGGAAGTGAAGCCTTCGTCTCTATCTCCTTTGGTAGACTCTCCGTCTCCGTTCACCACCACCGAACTTGTGTGAAAATTCCATCACGACTGCAGCCACTATCAATGATCATACCAGAACTTCCAAACACCACTCCCCGCCATCTGATCCCGTGAGGAGAAGCAAGGGTGCATCAACACCGAGTCGCCACCTTCTCGACTGGGCCGCCATTACTCACCACCACCGTTGATCTATTGCCCATAGACACCACCATCATTTGTGAGTCATTTTATGACAAGCCGATCCGAGTTATTCTTCATCGAATTTGTTGCGTTTGTTTCCCGAGGGTTATTGAATGTTGATCTGCCATTATTATTGTACCTTCTGCTGCAAGTTTCCTCATCTCCATATTTGGTTGCTGTTACGTTGTTGTGGTGTTTGTCATTGCATTTGGTAAGTAAGAGGACTTTAATCTCAGATACCCCTCCATACAAGAGGAGAATTCTAACTGCCCCTCATAAATCCGATTGCCCCTCTTATAATTGAATTGTTGATTTTATCCTTCATTAAAATAAAACAAAAAAGAAAAATCGAAAAAAAAAAAGAAAAAGCAGCAGCGGTTTGGTAAAAAATTTAATTGAAATCAATCCTACAATTTAATCCTCTAAACCAACCAAACCAACTAAAATTTAATTCTATTGCTCCTCTTGTCGTCTTCTTCCTCTCACGTTGTCTTCTTCCTCTCATTTTTCCACCATTGACAAAATCGGAGGCGTGAAATTGAAGGTTAGTTGTTGCTGTTTCTTATACTATTTTTCGATTTCTTGATTGAATTATCAAGTTCATGCCATAGGTAAAACAATCAATACATAGTTTCTTCTCAATTAGAAAACTTCATAGTAAAGAAAATTTTGATTTTTTTTTTTACTCATTGGAGCTACTGAGATAGTTGGGTAATGCTATTAGAAACTGATATTGTTAATTAAATAGGATATCTTGATTAACTGAGCAATAAATCGTAATAACTAGTGATGATTCGTATGATGAACCAAACTTTCTGGGTACAACTAGCACAACTGGACATATTAGTACGAGTAGGATGAACCAAACTTTCTGGGTACTACTGGTACAACTAGCATAACTGGACATCTTAAGTGAATTAGTACGACTAGTACAACTGGTACAACTATGATAAGATTACCTTACGATTGTTTTGTTCTTTTCAGGGGAAATGAGTAGCAGTGGTTGCACAGTCATATGTTTTGATTATGGGGGATTCTATTCAAAAGACGGTTATAAAATTATATGGAATTCTGTAGAAGATGAGATTCACACTTTAGTGATGAGGAAATCTTTGGAGAATGTCACTTATCTTGGATTAGTGGAGGGAATTTGCAGAAAGGTTTTGATAGATGCAGCTACATCTCAGCTGAAAATTAGTTACTATCCAATGGTCTTGAACACGAAGAAACCATCATATATTTAGATGACAAAAATGTTTTTGGTTATCTACTACAAATGAGTAAAGATCAATGTAGAAGTGTTCTACATGTGGAGTTCATCAAGGATGTTGATCAAAGTCATGGAAGCATGCATGTTTCAAGAGAGGATCATGGAGTTGACGTTGATGTAGGTCCAAGTAATGATGAGCTGTTTTCTACCGCTAGAGATGGTTTAGTATTACCGGACAGTGAAATGCAAGACAATGAAATGCAAGACAATGAGATGTAAGAAAATGATACAGATCCTCTACAAAGATATGAGCTCGTGTATGATGATGATACAGAAGTCAGACATTCTGATAGAAACTCGCAAGTAAGTCATGGATGGGAAGATGGTTTAGATATA